ACACACTCACTTCTTCCTTTGTTTTCAACTAACTGCTCCATATTACGCATTGCTTTCCGTTTCACTTAATTAAAACTGTTCTGCCTGCGTGTGTGTGTGCATAACTGTTCTCCCTTTGAAGCTTTCTCATCTACGTCTAATCTATTTTAATAAACTTGGAGCCTTACCGTACCAAGACTCCTTTGGGTCCACCAGTCCAGAGGAACGATAAGTAACTATGACCCCCTTAGCTACAGCCATAAATCTAATGAAATTCAGTAATTTAGTGGACAAGACTTATGATGTTTCATTAGTGTTTCAGTGACTCACATAGCAAATATTTGACCAGTGGTTCAGTGAACACATAGGGTGATAATCATAACTATATAAGCATATCTGTGACATATAAGTATGTAAACTTGTGTGTGCTATAAAATAAAACCATTCTTAAGTGCATAAAATAAAAATCACCCTAACATGATCGACTGATGTAAAGGATCTAAAGACACTTCCTGCAGTTTATTGAAAACTAGATGGGTCCACTGAGATCTACTGAACCCAAGGTAAATTAATGTCGGGCATGAACACTTGTCCAGCAAAAGCCGTCGAGCTGAATAAGAGCCAGGCTCATGTTTTATTCAAAATACAGCCGGAGTTGTAAATCCATGACGGAGCTTTAACTCCTCTACATTGCTGTGCTCTAATCATTCTTCCTCTGCTTTCATGAACTCACTGCAGCTTCTAATGAACCTGTCAATGTCCTCCTAGCACCACCCTCTGGACAAACAAATCCAGAGGTCAGAGGTCACAGGCATCAAAACATGACACAGATCTGGATCCTGCATCAGAAATCTGATCTGGATTATAAACAGACTCCCCACCCCCAACCTCCTAGCTCATTTCCATATGAAATGGGAGAAAAACACTGAGGTCTTTGTTAGTGAGAGGACACATTCTTCTGATATAAAGCTCGCTCTATTTCCTTCAGACCTGCACTTTGTTTCTGATCAGGATCCCGGTTCTGTTTCTGTCTGACTCCATCCATCTTTCTATATGATGCTAAACACCTGTAAGAACTGATCAGCATTCACTGTATTTCTTTGTGCTGATGCTGCAGCAGACATGACCTCACTATGCTGCTTGTCTCCATGGATACAGCCCACTGGGCCTGTCAGCTGCTTTTGGGGAGGGGGGGTGGGGTCTGTCAGGCCTTTTGTAACCTGTCTAAGTAGTCTGGCAGACTTACTGATGCTATCAGCTTACTAATAGCACAGAGCAAGAAGGTTCCGGGTTCCTGGCTGACCCGGGTTCCTGTCTGTGCAGTGTGCATAGATTAAGATACAAACCTATGTTTATAATAACATTATATTTTCTATCCATCAGTTTGGGGCGACTGTGGTTCAGTGGGTGGAGCAATAGTCTTCCAATCAGAGAGTTGGGGCTTCGAATTTCGGTGCCTGCAGTCCACGTGTCCTTGGGCAAGACACTGAACCCTCAAGTTGCCCCCGATGGTTAGAGCAGATGGCTGCCTCGGTTCTGGACCAGAAACAAATTCTTTGTGTGTAACTACTGTGTGTAATACTTGGCCATACTGTATAAAGGTGAGTATCCTGATTATCCTTCCAATTGTACATTGAGCAGACTGTGTCCTCCTGTTCTCAGGGGTTTGTACTTAAAGCTCAAACTTACCAAGTTACAGTGGGACATATTGAAAAACTCCCCGTGTGTCCCTCTGGACATATGCAGTAATGTGTCTTTCCCTGGCCCTGCCCACGCTTCACCATGTGATCTGAGGTTATTCCAAGCACCAGCCTCCAAGGCTGAGAAATGAAGCATAAGTGACAAAACCTGCAGTTCCTCGAGCGGCCACTGGAAGCTGGCTTCAAAAGGGAGGCAGACCCCATGTTAAAGTGGCCAACTTTACAGCAAAAAAAGGATAAAGGTGGCCGGCCGCTGGCTGTCTCTACTCACCCTCTGAATCTTTGCCCATTTTTGGATTTGACCTAGCAGGCAGAGTGAAGCACTGCCAATATGGTGGCAACCAAACTTGAGCTTCAAAAACACTCTTCAGAAAACCAGGGGACGATGTCACAGTGTGTTTGTCCATCTTTTATATACAGTCAATGGTTTTTTTCTTCTTCTATGCTTCTTTTCTTGGTGGACCTTTATCTGTGTCCTGTGAATACAGGTGTTTTAAACCAGGTGAGATGAGCATCTTTTCATTAATGGAACTGTAGACCTGAGATTGGACTAGAGCATCTGTGTCTGTAGCGCCACCTTCAGGACAAGGTCTGTATGATCTCCTCTGCACCAGCGGCTGTTTCGTCCATTCTTCTGTTTTCTGTAAGTGTTAGAAATTGGACAACCTGTTGTTGTTCTACATTTACACTCAGATATCACTTATTTACTTATTTATGTTTGTTTTCGCATGGACAGGTGTAAATCATGGTTTATAGCACCTGTTCCTGATGAAAACTCAACAGTAACATACAAACAAAGCAGCACACAACAGCACCAGTGAGACAATAAAATGACCGAACCCTCTTTAAAAACAAGTTCAGACTGAATTTAAAATGATCCTGAGCCATGATTATTTATCAGAGACAGGTGAGAGACAAGCCTGGTTCTAGTGTCTGATGACCTGCTGTGCTGTTCGATTCAGACTGTTGTTTCCACATGGATATATGAATGTCAGTCAGTGAAACGGGCTCCCGGCCTGAAGCTCTGCACCGTTTGGATCAGCAGTCGATGGTGAGGAGGAAGTGACACATTCTAAATTAAACAGTGCACTTTTATTTACACTGACGTATGTTTTAAGATGTAAACATGTTTCCAGCATCTCTGTTTGTTTCTGTCCATGTGAGCAGTGTGGACAGGAGGAGGAGGTGCAGATGGAGATGATCAGGTGATGAGAGCTGAATACAAACCAGACACGCCACTCCTCCCACACCACCCTGATCCTGTATCAGCATGTAGAGAGGCTGCAGGCTGAGTCAGCACTCCTCCACCACCAGAGGAGGGGAGTGTGTCTGTGCTGGTCAGTAAACCTGGTATCTCCTCAGCATTGCTGTAGAAACCCTGTACTTCCCCATGGTCACTATGGAAACCTGTCATGTCCCAGTGTAGAAACCCAGTATCTCCACACTGCTGTCTTTCACTCAGATGAAACTTCTCAGTCTGCAGAACAGCCCAACACCCCCACGCTTCAGGGTCCTCAGCCGACAGCATCGGCCACGTGAGCTCACCCTACTCCTGCCAGCAGCCGATCATGGCCGTCCTCCTTCTCATCAAACTGGCTGAGAATGTCAACAGAGCGGCGTGGTTTACGTCAGTAAGCGCTTCATGAACACAGCACAGAGTGGACCCTGAAGGCAGCAACCAAATGTGTTCTGTCACATACAGTATACGTCCACCTGAACATAACGTAGCAGCTCTGTCAGGAAAATAAATAGATGGGTAGTGAAGTTCTGGTCCCTCAGGAATCTGATCAGAACATAACATCAGTTGCACTGATTAGATGTTGTTTTTTAATGGTGTCGTCACACATGAAGCCAGTTTTAAGGAGATGCACAGACGTGCTGTAGAACAGAACCGTTTTACATTCGTCATCCTTCAGACCTGGAGTGTGTTTCTGATCCTGATCCTGGTTCTGTTTGACTCCATTCATCTTTCTATATGATGCTAAACAGCTGTAAAAACTGATCAGTGTTCATTGTGTTGTTTCCTTGTGTTGATGCTGCAGCAGGCATGGCCCCTCCGTGGCACTTGTTTCCATGGTTACAGCTGATCGCTATGCCTGTCGGCTGCTGTTTGTGGGGGGGCATTCACTGAGGTTTATATGGCCGGGTCTATTATAACCTGTCTAAACAGGAACTTGGTTACTGAGCTCATATGTCCCTCTGCACATGTGCAGTAGTGTCTTCCTCCCTGGCCCCGCCCACATTACACCATGTGACATGAGGTATTTCTTTAGTTTTTCTTCTTCTTTACTTATTTTTGTGTTTGTTTTTTATCTGTGTCCATCCAATGAATACAGAGATCTTTTCATTAATGGAGCTGTAGACCTGAGTTTGGACTAGAACCATTGTGTCTGTAGCGCCACCTTCAGGACAAAGTCTTTGTGGTCTCCTCTGCACACCAGCGGCTGTTTCATCTGTTCTTCTGTTTTCTGAGTGTTAGAAATTGATAAACCTGTTGTTGTTCTGCATTTACGCTTAGATATCACTTATTTGTTTATTCATGTTTGTTTTCCCAGAGACAGGTGTAAATCATGGTTTATAGCACCTGTTCCTGACGAGAACTCAGCCATCAGTGGTGTAGCAGTAGTAAATACACACTGATGTCCTTTATGTAATGTTAGATCCATGGTGTTTCTCAGAGCAGAGCTGACGTTTGTGCTTCTGTTCATCGGCTTCATTCAGTCCGTGCAGTGTCTGAGATGTGGGGCTGCATGTTAAATAAAGATTTGTGTGTTTGAACAAAGCTTGTTGGCACCTTGTAGACCCAGCGCTCTGCACATGCAGCGTTCACTGACTCCTCGTTCATCTGCACGTTGGACCTCTGTGGCTCTCCCAGGACCTGTTACCAGGCAACCAGCATCCGGCCGCCATGATTGCTTTGTTTACCGGGAAATGGAGTAGAAAACATGTGACCCATGTGATAGATGGTTTTGATCCATGAGCCTTTAAACCATCAGTTTCCTGTTTTCTGTTTCCAGCAGCAGCTGAAATTTTAGAGTCTACATAAAAACTCAAGTTTAAAGTCACCGCAACTTAAAAATCACATCATCAGACTGATTGATCAGAGGTGGTCATGTGAGGGTTAAAATACTGTCTAGTATCAGAGGTGGTCATGTGAGGGTTAAAACACTGTCTAGATGAGTCTGTTAGCTTTCTGTGTCATCCAGCTCAGAAACATCATCACAGTTGTCCTTGTAAGATCGAGTGCATGTCTCATTGTCTGCAGACACCAGTCTCAGACAGTCAGTGGCTGCAGCAGTATCTCCAATATAAGTGATCGCACCCAGAATATCAGACCTATTACAGATGTTTGCAATTGAATGGAGGCGAAACAGCAGCTGCAGCCATCAGCAGGGCTGACATGCTAACCCTCCATCCTGCTGCTGCCGCCAGAGGGCGGCACGCGTCCTGCTGACACACCTGACTGGAAACATTTGGAATTAACGTGTTTACATCCTCCTCCTGTCCCACCCTGCCTCTCTCCTTTCTTCGTTCTCCCCTGAAGTGACAAAAACTATCACGTGCAGATAAACTACAGTTTCATTGCAGTAACAACAAATTCATGGTTTAACCCACCTGTTATGTTCATGTCTCAGGAACAGCAGTGATGTTCCTGGGTTAATTTTACCATTACTAACCATTTCAATCACTATTTAGTGCAGTGGTGTTCTTTACCTCTCACAGATTATGGTTCAACTCGTTTTTCATAAAAAATGCATGTTAAAACTTTTTTTAATGGACATTGGAAAGACCTCCATATACAGTAAAATACATTATTTTTACATGACATTGATCTTTATTTTACATTTTGAAGTCTTTTCTTTTTATGAAGTGATGTTGATAAATTAACATGAGACACGTCTCCTGTTCAGTATCTTTGTAATCTAAACATGCAGGGGGAGGTTGCAAATATGTGAAATGAACCATTTTCATTTTATATGTTGATTACACCTATTAAGCCAAGCAGAGGTTTTATACCAATAAAATACTTTTAACTATTGTTTTTAGATTTTATAACTTTACAATGGATCAATTTGGCCTGCAACATAACAGGAGGGTTTTAATAGGTAACAAAAACATAGGGAGGAGAAGAACTTAGTTACCAGCTGTAAAGAAACAATAACAAAGCCAAACCACAAATCAGAATTAATGAAGCCGTGTGTGTTACAGCAACAGCTTCATCAGTTGTTCTGACTGCAAGGGTTTGTTCCACCTCTCTGGGTAAATTTTGGTTTTCTGAAACCAAACATTCTTTCCACTTTCACAAACTTGTGTTTCTGCCTGGGCTACAAACAGGCTACTCTGATTACTCTGATTGATGAACTGAGACTTTTTTTAATTTGTAAATAAAATGTATAGGGGTTTGTGTCCACAGGTTCATCCAAGCTGCTCTCAGCCACAGTCTGAAGGAGAATCGGAGCTGGTCTCACTGGAGGTTGGACACTCAGAGGTTGGGGTTCAGGGTGTGTCCTGTGTCAGCAGAGACCGAGCTGCAGTCAGACGCCGACGGCTGTCAAACTGAATTGTATTGAACTGAATAGTAGTACCTTTAGTACCAACAGTAGCAGTAGTATCAGTAGTAGTAGTAGACATTCCAGAGACTCAGTGTGTCTGTGTCGCCCTCCAGTGGACAAATTCTGGAAGGTTCTGTAGCTTCACTAGTTCAGTTTAGGGTTAGCAGTAGTGGCTGAAGTTCTTTTACTGTTGTGCTGGCTCTTGACATATAACACACACATATTGTTCAGCTGTTGTTCATTCCATTTCAAGTTTTGTTTCTGAGTTCACAGAGAACCTACAGCTGTTCGTGAGTGAAGATGCAGCTGAACGTGACAAATGTTTAACAGGAACCAGGTGCTGGAGCAGACTGTGGAGGAGTAATCTCAGAAGAGGAGGTAAAAGACTCCTGTCAGAGCGCATCGCAGGTTGCTATAAAAGCACCTTTGCTGCAGATTTGTACCTTCATAAGTGCATTTGGATTCCAAAGGTACAAACCTGGTTTCATAGCAGACAAACTGTCCTTGTTGTGGTTTGTTTGTGACCAGTGACCTCTAGTACAAACATGAGTCCTCACAATATATCTGTAAAGAACATCACTGCGCTCAGCAGGTTGTATTACTAGCTACAGTCTCCTTCATGTTGTCTAAACTCAGTGGACACTAAACACCAGTGTTGTAGAACTGAAACATCATTTCAAGATATTTTTGAAAGAAAATTAACACATCATTCAGTTAGTTTGTTTCTCAGTGACTGTGCTCTGTGGACTTTAACCGCCTAACCTTTTGGCTCCTCGGCATTAAAAGTGATTTTTCCCAGTGGACAGGCCTCGTTCGAGCAGTGCACCCTGGAGCTGCGGTGACTTCAGGCCTGAGTTCAGGAAGCATGACCAGAGCATTGCCTGAGGCCTCAGCATCCAAACCACTGTGGTCATGGACTTTCAGAGACGCCTCTCACTGGATGCTAGCTGGCCGCAGGGATCTGGTTCTGTTGGGATGGCACCTCCTGCTGGGCTGTGGCAGCTGGGATGTTGATGTTCAGGTCATCGTCAACTTGGTAACACTTTCCCAGATTCTTGATGATGTTAAAGTTGGAGTGGGCTGTTTCTGCCAGGCTGTTCTCCAGAATCCAGCCATCTGACTCCGAGTCTGGATCGCCAAGCCGGAGGACATTCTCCATGGCCGTCTGCAGGTAACGGACCCCCGTCAGGACCAGCAGCTGGCAGCAGAAGAAAACCAGTGTGTTTAGTGAACCATGGACTGAAGCATATCAACAGAGATGCTGTGTCACGGTATCACTGCTGTTGTGACACTGTGAATCAGCAGCTAAAAGCTGCAGTACCTCAAACAGCCAGATGAGGAGCACGATGAGTCCGACAGACTGCATGATGCTGGTGTAGTGGTCCAGCAGGGTCTGTCGGCAGCCTCTCTTCCACAGGTTCAGCTGCTGGCTCTGCTGGTCGAAGCTGAAGTGGGCCGAGCTGTTGCTGATCTGCTGCTGGATGCAGGGCCGAGGGGAGAGGGTGCTGCAGCAGCTGAAGGGAACGCTGTCCACCAGGTACTTCCCCTGCACGTTACTCCTCAGACGACTACAAGTGAAGAGCAGGAGGTGGCCTGTTAGGACCAGTCACTGGTACTACTCCCACTGCTAGTACTGCTGCCACCACTTCTACCAGTGCTGCCACGAACAGTAACTGGTACGGCCCCCACTACCTGTGTCACTACTACTACTGTTACATTCAGGCATTTGCAGAGACATGCTGCTAATCCTCCATCAGTGGTAACCTGTCACTTACTTGTATTTGAATTTTAGACAACCCTGTGTTTTCCTTTGACGATATAACACACAGAGGTGTTCAGGGGAGGGTACAGTGTGAGATGGAAGTGACAGCAGTAGCAGTGGGCTACACGGACACTGGTGAACAGACTGTAACAGACTGTCTGAATCCTGTAGACAGGTTATGCTGAGTCCCTTGAACGTGAGTTGAAGCCTGTTTGTTATCTGATTAATCCCGTAACCTTTGACCCCTGTATCTTCCAGGCTTTACTGCAGTGGACCAGTGGACTCAATCTGAAAAAACTCTTTCTGTCTACTGATGGAAAAACATTGCATTTCCATCAGAGGTCCAGGGACAAATGAGCAGATAGTGTAGCACTGAATAGCACTGAGTTTGGATGACATGATGATATGAAATAAATACTATGGAACAACCAGAGTGTCCTGCACTTTATTAGTCACCTGTGTGTACTTTCCTGTCCTCAGACCTTCATCGGGTGAAAATCATAGTGATAAAGAACACAGATTAACAAAGCCAAAGAAAACCCAAAAAAGATTTTTTCCAACTCTATAACCTCACATCTTGCTGCTAGTGTGTCTATGACAAGTGCTGTATGTCAATGGTATTTACCAGAATCCACTAAGGTCCACATCAGTCCAGCTGGATCTAGTGGATTTCCTCACAGTCCAATAGAAATAACAGGTAACATAATCAGTCTGGTTTCACTGGAACCCAAGCTGATCCCCATCCAACACAATGAGTTCCACCAGAATCCAACATTTAGGTTTGAGCCTACCTCAAGGTTATATAACTAAAGATCCAGTAAAACCCAAAAGATTCCACAAGACCTTGTTTAGTTTTTGGGTTCTAGATTCCACTAGAACTCACTTAGTTGAAGTTTTATAGACGCCATTAAGGTAAATTGGGATCCACTAAAATCCAGTAAGCAATCCACTAGCATTTAAAGAGGTGTGTTCAGGCTGAACTGGTTTTGTAGTTTTTCTGTTTACCGCAACCAATCAGCTGATCAGCTGTAGCTACATCAGCTGTAGCTACATCATCACATATGCTCATGAGTCTGGACTCGGCATGAGCCAGATTGTGCACTAAGTTGGTGTCATCTGAATGAACTGTCTCTCCACTGAGGTTGTGCAGCTTTACTCTAGTGTGACTGTGGACTGGTTCACAACCAGTAGAATCTAGAACCTGCT